TTTAATAAATAAATTGAAAATTCCTTGGGGGGGGGGGATATATTATTTTAAATATAATTAAATTCAAATATATATTTACATTAAATTATATTTAATATAGAAGAGAGAGAAGTTTTTCATTTTGTGGAACTGACAATTACGTCGGGCAAATAAGTCACGTATACCGTATAGGTTTCACCTTTGTGCATAATAAGCGTGAACGGCAGCCATCGCACACAGTCGACAGACAATTTGCAAGTTAATCAACGCGACCGAAGGACGATGCGATCGGCCGCGGCCGCACAGTTCGCGAGATGAATTTCTCCGCATCCCGATCGTTTCCTGAACTTTCTTTTCCTGAACAATTCACAACAGCTTATTAAGACATACACGTTTCGAACGCGCAATTTATGTTACTCGCAAACGGAACACGATCGCGGTGAAATATACGATGTTGTAATCTGTAACGAGCCGCAAATTTCTCATGGAAAGTGCGAGAGCCGTTTCGTGGGCGAGAGAGCTTTGTAAATAATAACATAAGCGTTCGCGAGAGTGAAATTGTGCGTTCCCTCTCGCAGAAAGGATCTATGAAAATTGCAATTCGCTCTCGTAGGCGTCAAATACGCTTCGCGTATCGTTGAATGGAAGGAAAAATGGAGTCTTTTTATTTTCAATGTAATAAAAACATTTTCTTCTCTGCTGTTTTTATCTCGGATGAGGCTCGATTGAAATCGCATTCGCCTCGGCGGCAACCTGAATCGATAGAAAGCACCGCGGGCGCGATGTAGTATATACGAGTATATAATACACGAATGGCAATCGGAGACCTTTTTGTATAAGCTACCAATTTTCAACGTTTCGGTCCTCTATTTACTCTCCGAACAAACGTCGCCTCGTCTCCAAGATTGATTATACGATTCGCTTTAGCGTGTCGCTTTCCTATATAATTCCCGATTGTTATAAATTACGCAATTTTCTCGAATCGATCGTCCCGTTAAGTTCAAGCAAGATATTCCCGCGAGTATCTCATATGTTAATTAAATAAGACGGAACATCTATCTTCGTTTATACGAGCGCGATCAAAATCGATGTTCCGGTACTCGTTAGGGAAACGGGCGGAATACGCAAATAAGGGGATCACCATGCGTTACGTGACTGTATTCGTGCATCGGAGAACGACCTCGATAACTCAAAATCCGAATTAATCCAGAAATAAAAATACTTCCTCTCGCGCCCTATCATTGTCCCTCTAAAAGTTATCTATAGATAAGATATCGAAAGAATGATTTCGCAAACAGAGCCTCCATTAACTGGTACTCGATCGGATCGCACGGCCTAAAAATCGCGGGGCAAGATAAATCCTCGGGGAAACAATTCGCTCGGCAACCCGCAATTACATCGCGGGAACATCGTGGGAACGATGTTGTCTTCCGAATAATTCACGACGATCGAATAACATCGATCAATCTCAAACAACGAGGCACCTCGCGGCCGCGGCCAAGCCGCGCGCGCGTATTCGGAGGAGTCAAATAACTTAATCATCCCTCTACGAGATTTCGTCTCGTTTTTGGCAACGGGCCGATCCCGAGGACGCGCATGCAAATCACGATACTCGGCGCGCTTCGCTCTCTCTTTCTCTCTCTTTCTCGCAATCGGCGAAAAGATAGCGCTGACAAATTGACTCGAGATTAAGGACGTTTCGGGGGCATGCACGGCAACCCCGACGGAACAAAGTGAAACTGGGTCTGCGACCCCCCGCGTTCGTTCGTGTGCGTATCGCTGCACGTCCGTGTACGTGTGTCCGTGCGCGCCTGTACTTTCCGCGGGAACAGGTGCATCGGCCTACGGAAGAAAACTATTGATTTTCATTTACCCGCGGAGAGTCGTGCGGCCCCCCTCGTGCGCTCGACGAAGGCTACGGGGGAAAGCAAGCCTCTCCCCCGTCGCTTGGCACGGCCCGTTCGCCCTGCATTCGAGCGGGAAGACAATGGCCCCGGGTCAGTGAGCCTGTGCACTTCGGTGCCATTCGGAAATCGAATCGAGATCGACCGCCAAAAATGCAGCGAATCGACGAGAAAATGGGAAAAGAAGAAACTATAATTTTCTTTAAATGTTGCTTTTTAAATTTTGAAAAAAAGAAATTTGTCTCGCGGATAACCCTCATACTTGATCATATTTTGACGCGTTCAAGGATAAACGGGTTAAAATTAATGTTAATTAATACAATGAATCGACAAAAGGAAAAAAAACTAGCGCTTGTGTCGCGTGATCATTGAAGTATGAAGTTCCCGCAAAATTTCAATTTGGAAAACTCTTCTGGGAAAGGAGAAAGTTTAAGGAATAAGAGAAAATGATTTACGCACATCTGCGCCACATGTAATATTCTCTGTTATTACCGTTGCATTTAATACAGCCTAAGACAACGCGCAAGGACACGACAAAATGAAAAAGTTAATGAGCCCATTGTCCAACTTGTCAATGCTGTCACGTCGCGATAAAGGACAAATAAGAAAAATTTCATCGCCGCCAGAAATGAAAGAGAAAATATTTAATTTACAGATATTTTTCGATTAACTAATTATATTATAGATTTTTTAATTAATCGGTATAAATATGTGCGTTTATTTAAAGTATAAATGTAAATTTCAATGTCCTCATTACGTTTTCTTTTTTTTTTTTCAAGCAAAGAAAATTCTGACTAATTTATAATAAAATTAATTCATGCCTTCCACAACTCCGATTCAATTAATTCCGGCGATAAGTGTTATCGCTAAAACACATTCGTTCGCCATAGTTAATCGCAAACCGCGAACAAGGTACCAGGCTACTACGGCTGCTAGCTACTATGTAGTGTTTGTAACATTAATACGGAAATATCCCGGTTATATGCATATTGGATAACGAATGGGTCGTGAATGTACGGCGATTGACAAAGTGGTCAATCAATAATTTCGATACGGTCTTATCAAAAGTATAACGTACGGGACTAAACTATCCAGTATCAAATACAACGCTCAACGCTCGCTTATGAGAAAATTATTGATGTGACAATCGTAATTATACTGCGAAAATTAATTAAACAAAAAAATTATATTTCTGCCAAAAAAAAAAAAAAATCATCCTCTTTAAATTTTTTCCAACGATTTTTTCCACATCTCTACAATTTCAGAAATTTATAATGTTCGTATATAATATTGCTTTCTACAATCGTATTAAATTTGAATAACCTCACTCACTCAATAAACGTCAGTCATAGCGATACGCAATGCAAGGCACATACGAATCTTACGCATAAAATTAACGGCGACGCGCGCGACTTTGAGAAATATTTGGAATACTTTACCGTTCTGGATGGAGTAGTCCCATTCGTCCTTCGAGCCCATTGCGTAGGCACAGTCGGCACAGGCGATTTATAAGAAATTGAGATCCGCGAAATTGAGATCCGAGTAGAGTTTACACCCGCTCGTCTTGTTTGTTCGCGCCGAACTTTCGTGTCAAAATGAAGGAACACTCGGTAACTTTTTCCGGCCCGGTCACCCGATCGTTACGTTGTGGAAATTTCGAAATCGCGGAAAGTTCACGATCGTTTCGGCTCGCAATTTTTCGCAAAAATTTTATCCCGCGAAGAGAAGACTCTGGATTTTTTTTTTACGAGCGCGTCCTGTCGCGCGAAGATACTAATCGCGTTCCCACACGCGCGGATACTTTCCCCGGCAGAACAATTGTCGTGTAGTTTCCCCTTGCGCTTCTATTTTTCTCGACGATCGGGCAACCGGTATAAGCTACGCGCCCTACTCCTACGGACGTAATACCGGCCGGCGCATCGGCACCGCTTTATATCGCGCGCGGTCACGTGAATGCGCCTGGACTCGCCAGTCGCGCATGCGCCGGTAAATATTTACACGTGCGCGCTCCCGCCGTGCGCGCGTACACATGAACAAGCACACGTGCGAACCTACAAAATGACGCGACGCTGATGGATCGATGATCGATAAATAATTGTACGGACGCTGTTATATATTGATGCATCTCCGAATAATTCACTTGATCGTGAAATATTAAATAAATCTTGAATCCCGCATAAATTGGTACAAATTGACTCGCTGTTTTTGTGTATAATTCTGTTTTAAAAACAAAGTTAAGAATTTAAATTCTTTCAAAATAAAAAGAAAGAAAAAACTTTTGTCTATTATGAACGAAAAAGTCGAATTAAAACTATAATGCTTGAATTTTAAACATCGATATGTGTGCGACAAAAAATCAGAAATATGTCATAAATACTATAATTGTTTTGCTAGAAAAAATTGCAAACCTCATTATATTTTAATTAATAAAAGTTGCTGTTAAAACACTATAATTTTCTTCAATTTTATTTGATTTTTTTAACACTAATCAGACATTATTTCTAGTTAAAAAATTCGTAATATTAATTTAATAAAATAAATGCATACGTGCAGTTCTGCTTTCGTTGCAACAAAAAAATGTACTTTTTTTACTGTCATATGTTTTTCACTAAATCAAAGATAAAATATAATATATTGATGTAACGATAAGTACAAAAATAATTATTATTATCTACTATTAATTGTATTTATATTTGATGCTGCAAAGAAAGTTTAATTAATGCATTCTCATCGTAGCATTGATGAAGATAAGATTAGATGACTCATTTTTTCAACAAATGAAAAGCGTTTATCTCGTGTTTGCGAACAATAAGTGATCAAATATCTCTTGCCCGAGAGAAACAGTTTCTTTCTTTATTAAGCACAGATTAACGATATCACACGTCAAACATCATGCTACATATTACGATGTCATAATTTCGTATTTATTGCGTAATGACGAGATAAGATATCGCTTCCAATAAAAATTAATGGAATTCTGACAGATTTCAAAATATCAATAGTATCCACTATTCAAAAAACATTCTTCTCGCGAAATAATTTTCGTGAGGTTTCTTCTATTTATTCGCGTGTTCACTTTGAGATATCTCGACGACATTTGACACAGCAATTGTTCATCCCTTCGACTCGATCAATCTTTGAATCGCAGAGAATCATAACAAATTCCTTCCTGTCAGTTGTAAGAAATTGTGACATTCGAGATTTTAGAGAGAGATCTTTTATAAATAGATATATAAAAACGCGTTCAAATAATAAAATAAAGATGACAAAAACAATAATTATAATAAAAAATCTTTGATTCTAGCGAAAAATTAAGATATTTATGACCTTTCCATCAAAAAGTTATGGCATTCATGATATTTCCGATTTTTTGTCATATCGATATTTAAAATTTAAAACAACACAATGTGTATAATATTAAAAAGATTGAGAATATGATTTTTATAGAATAATAATTCTCTTTTTAAATAACTGTTTCTCATTTGTCCTTATACAAACAAGAAATAACATCGGCTTACTTAGGGGCACTGTTATTTATCGAGAAATCATTTTAAGAGCATTTCCGTTCTCTTCTGTTATATATAACCTTGCTTAAAACAATCACACAGTGGGAAATGTATTATTCCTCCACATGACGTAAGCACGCAACGTAAGCTATTTTGCATGTAAACTCAGAATGCTCAACGTGAGATGAATAGAAAATCGTACCGTGTCGCATTCTTGAAAATTTTATATAATCGTAGAGATTCGAGTATTCGATTACATCATTGTAATTACATCACCTCTAATGCAACATCTTTCGGAATCTAATCTGCAGAATAATAAGCATGCATAGATTCCTTCATGCATAAATTCCTTTCAATCAGCTAAATTTTCACAAAAAAAATATAAAATATGTATTATAAATTTGGTGTAATATATAAATATAGCGATTATATATATTATATAATTAAAATAATAAATTGTTAAAAATTATACATAAGATTTAGGAAAATTAGGTCGAATATTACAGTTCAAAGTCCTTGTCATTAAGCACGTGATCCAATAAAATTTATCGTCATGTGATTACTAATTGCTTAAACCAGTGCTCGGATTTAGTTCTTAAACATTCAATGTGAATGACATACAAGCCCGTAAGTGTTTGATCTTTGGAGATGACGACATTGATATTTCTGGAGAGTAGTGAGCGTAGAGATTAACACGCATCGTATCCTAAAATGGTTTTATTAACTCTTAACTTTACACATGTTTAGTATGTAGTACTTGTCTCAGAGAGAGAGAGAGAGAGAGATATCTATATATGTATATTATTATTAATTCGATATACTTTTTTTTCATTGATTACGGACGAGAGCGATACCGTTTCATGATCTCAAAGTAATCGCGTTTTACTTCAAAGCGATCAATGCTGTTCTTCTTTTTTCGCGAATTTTTTTCTTCCCCTTTTTTCTCTCTCCTTCAAGATATGTTTTACTTAGCGCAAACTTAAGAGATACGTGTCGATGGCTTTTCGTTATTTAAAGGAGAAGCAAGTACGAAAGCCGCTCCATCCTGCGTTTCGCGAATACATCAACGTAAACGTTTCACTTTGTATCATATATCGAAACGCTTTTATAGCGAATAAAAATAATCTGAAAATCCCAGTCAATATGTTTATTCTTAGGTGTGTTTATATATATATATATATAGCTATGTATATAACACATGTTCGTATGGGCGATGCGAGATAACTCTCTCCTTTTCTTCCCCTTGTCCTTATCTTTCTCTAATGGAACTTTTACTTTGTCTCTGGCATTAGCCCGATTTCTCAGAAAGCGGCCGTATACGAAAGTCATGGTCACAATAGCTTAGCAATTTGTCAGATCATCTTTTTTTCTTTTACACACAGTTATAAAATACTTTCGAACCATTTTTCACACACAGGCCAGAAAAGTCACTGTTAGCAAATATGCTCTCTTTGAGAAATTCATTTTCTTTTTTTTCTTTCGTATCCTTTCTCAGGTGTTTTGTCCCTTCTATCTTATAAATATCATACATGCTTATCATACATTATCATCATTTTCACAAGTAACACAATTGTAGCGCTTAAGGGATACGTGTAGAGCAATGATATGATTAGAAGCATGATATGAGTTATGCTTGTTTACCGCAGATCACAAACGGAATATAAAGTTCTTCTTGACCGTTTATGATGCACCGCGTTTCTGGGTGTGTACAATGATCCGTTGATTCACACTGATTCTCAAATATTATTCTACTAAGTAGCGTTACTCTTCATTCATTAGCCACTACATTATTACTTTGTGAGCGATTTCGCCTGAAATAATAAATAAGGGTCCAGTATGTCGATATAATAAAGTTTTAATTCCATGAAAATTGATAATATAAACAATTATCTGCTGGAATCTGATATGCATACACAATATAAATTTATATTTATTCTTTCAACGAAAATCGCACACAAAGAAATATCACAATTATAGAATAATCCCACCTTACGATAACATAAATTGTTATATTCGAGTCTTAAAATAGAGAATTTAACATAAAAGATATTTATTCGTACTCTTATAAAAAATAATAAGAAAATGTATTTATATATGTTTATTAATTCACGATATAAAACGTCATAAAGAGCAATCACGTACAGGCGACAATTGCAATCTCCTTTCTCTTTCTAAAAGATTCTGCGATAAACAAGATGCGCGATGAAAAATATTCATTAGTTTATGACAAACAACTCATCGATTCTGTCTTTCGCAAGCATGTAAAGCAACTGAATCATGCAATTAATATATAACTATACAAGCGTCGCGTCTCTCGTCAAGATCATAGAGAAATTTGACCGTAGTTTTGATATATATATATATATATATGCTCGCGAAAGAAAGAAAAAAGTCTGTGAGTCACATTTCACGAGTTTTCCTTGTGTTCAATGATATATATTTAAATCCTCTACGTTACAAGGACATGAATTATAATAGTTAATATATTATATCGTAATTTTTATGTAGCCTTTGTATACGAAACGTTTTCTTAGCATCTTACATACGTATTAATCGTCAGCAGTCATACCAGTATATAGGCGCGCCCGCAAATTCGTCGATCCATTTATCGTCCGTGTCGACAAACGCGATCGACAAACGGAGCTTCCAAATTCGGAACGCAATACGAAATTCTTTTTCTTTTTTTTTCGTTTCTCGTATTTCCTTCCAAAAATATCAGGAAACTATCGAGGTATTGAAGAAACGGCTGCATACGTACTCGTACCATACCCCGCACTCTTTCGTCGCACCAGACATACAAACGATGATACTGCGGATGAGTTGTGTATATCTAGTCGCGCAGCGATTAAAAAATTACAAAAAACATTTAAAAAATGCGCCATAAAGAGTGCGAGCCACGCTCTCTTTCGCAGTTACAAATACGTCCTTATTTTTACTCTCTTTTTAAATATTAATTATTTTTTGGCTTGGTAACTATGTAAAATCTAAATTAAATAGTCTCATTCTTATATACGTGCCCGTATATATCAGTGTTTTCGTTCTGAGTTAATCTTTCGATGCTAACTCATATGTGTTTGTAAACAGGTCCGAAAAAAATAATAAAAATATACATATTTATTACGGTTATTAAGTCATAAAAGTTGTATAAAGCGCGTCAAATTGTGTGTAAAACAAACAGAAATGGATCTTCCTCCCACAGCGAAAGTAAATGCAAATAACTTGATTGGTCTGGCAGTATTTAAATTACGCTATTCAAATAACCGCAGACTCTCACGTCTCTATCGAACGGCACAAATATAGATATAATATGTATATATGTATACGTATTTATATATATATTTATATTTGTATATATTATTATAATCAGTTTTTTTTTCTTACCTTAGATAAGTTATCTGCATGGCCTACTGTGCCCATGGAAGCATTTGCTGTCATTTTGCAATGGCATATTGCATGTATATCATAATCGTTTCTTTAAATTTATGTCTCAAAAACATTTCAATTCTCTCCAATATATTTTCTCCTTAAGTAAAAAGCGATCGCCAAGTGAGCCAGTTTATCTACTCACGAGACTGATATTTAATTTAGTTTATTTCGTTACAAATTAATCTAAATGGAACGTTTAGAAATAAAAGAAAAATTGGAATAAAAAATAATATTATATAATATCATACTATATTATATAATATACTATTATATGTATCGTGAAGAACTGGTTCGTTTGGCGATGTATCATTTGTCGTTCTGGCAGTGTTATACGTTGTAGGTGCGTAATACGATATATTTCGTTAAATCCGTCCGTTTCTTGATACCTGGAGACTCTGTGTAAACAGTAATTGCAATAAATCCGTAGAACCGTAGTAATTATACGTGCTGTTATTCACAGTCGGATACCCTTATTGCTTAATAAATGGCACTGATTATTGAAATATTTACGAGTATCGTTGCTGTCTCGAATGCTACAAAGTCGAATAAAGTACTTTAACTCTACCGTTGTCTCGGTTCTACAACGATCTCTAAACTAAATTCACGTATCGAGTTCGGAGCAATGGATCCTTCCCTACGATTGAATTCTTTACGAAAGGCAACACGTGATTTGTATTCCCATACTTCCTAGAAAATCTTTTCTTTTTCTTTCGCGTGAAATATAGAAAATTGAGAGTGAGAAAGAGAGAGAGAGAGAAATCTTTTTCGAACGTATTATCGATCGATGATGAGACGTGCCGTTGTATGTAGTAGTACATATACAAAATAAGTAAAATCGCATGTGAGTTCTCGAAGAAAATTCTCGCTGGATGATTTTTCTCTTCATTCACGTCTCGCTAAGCAGTATATTGTCATACCGGATGAATGGAAGGGCTTTCTTTCAAACGTCGCTATAAACATTCAATATCCCACGATCATCATTGTCATCGTCGCCAATTCGAGATTGCTTTTTATAATTGATTTGGTTTTGCTTGTGTATCGGTGAGTCTCCGAGCATTGCTAACATATATTTGCGCGTAGGCGAGTGTACCGTATTTTGTTAGGGAGGCACGTAAGGGGGCGGTTTTCTGTACGTCGGAGTGGGTTTAGGACGATTTTGCCGATTGGTGTCGCGATTCGTGGCAAACGGCGGCGGCGGTTGGTATGGTTCTTCGGAGTTCTCCTTTGGAAGCATCGGTACGTCAGCCCCATCCTCAGCTTTCTGATACTCTGGTGGTGGAAGGGGTGGCTTTTCTTCTTTCAGGATGACAGGCGATTTATTGCCTGAAATATACGAATAAGTGTTAGTATGAAAGACCGATAATACATCATCGATATAATTTTAATGGTACTAATAAATTATTATTACCAGGATCCGGCTTTTCTTCTAGTTCGTCCTGGAAGATAACAGGAATTCCCTTGCTGCGAAAACTCTGCCGCTCGTCATCTTGTTCGCTGACGCTCATCTTCCCGCTGCGTCTTCGTCTGTGCAGAACGCACGCAATGATTCCCGCTACGATGAGCATAGCGGCGATAATAATTGCTGGCAGAACAAAAGTGAGAAGATAATCGTCGCGGAACGCGCCGACCGACGTGGAATCATCCACCGGTGGTACATGACTATCTGGCGAATGCACGCCCGTCAATTCACCGAGACAGATCCCCATCGGAATCACTGTAATCTGTTTTACAGGGAATTTCAAGCCCATCACTTCCAACACCTCGTCCGTCACGGAACGTCGATCGTTGTCACTCTTCACGAGCACGGATCGTAACCTATTGACCTCTTCGTGAGCGCAATACGACGTAGGCAGAGTTCTGTTATGCCACGTAATTACGGTACTACCGTTCGAGATGCTGTGCAGTGAGATAGCGCTCGTGTCCTTGTCCTCGTAGAGATCTCGCAGCTTCTCGATAAAGTTACGCTTTTGAAGCGCGGAATGCGCAAATGAGTCGTAAGGAATATCTAGCGTCATTGAGAATTCCACCGTGTGCGCCATGGGCGGCGCCGGATGAACGACAACGACCAATCCATCGGTGCTGCTCGCACCTAGAATAATAATTTCTAATTCAGTATTATTCTACAGACGAATGTAATTCTTTATATTAAAAAATAAAACTATGATGAAACTTACCGTCTTTATCAGTGACAACCAGTTGATATTCTTTGCGGCCGATATCGGTGCGCATTGGAACGCCATAAAATTCTTGATTTTTGCTATCAAATTGCAGCCACTCGTGAGGTGGAATAGGTATTCGATCGATAGTCAAAAGTGACATCTTCATGTTTCGCGACGATCCATCCTCAGCATCGAAGAAAGTATCCTGCAAAAATATATAACAAAATTGTTAAATATATTATTTTGTTAAATATATTATTCACATATTGATAAAAGCAATAAGAGTCAATAAAAAGCGTACTTCCGGCACTTTAAATATGAGTAATTGTCCAACTGTCGCATTAACGTGGTCGACTTGATTCCTCGGTACAGGCGGGAAATTAACTTTCGGCTCTTCGGTAGAGACTTTTGGTTCCTCGAGACGATTCATATCCTCGCATTGCCCTATGCCTTGGAATACGACACGTTTAACTGTAATTTCTGGAGCGAGCGCACTTCTTAGAGAAGACGATGGATCTCCATTACTGTCGACGAGCACCTGATAACATACGTACATTTTCAAAATTTGTAAAAAAATTTGTTTAAAAACTTATAAAATTTTTTTGCATAAGATAGAAATGATACAGTAAAACTACTTACGCGCCATAATTTATTTATATATTCTCTTGGACATTCGCTGCTTCTTGGAACATTATCGTTAGTCCATGTAAAAATGACTTGTTCACGATCGGATGTATTGATTTCAATAGAACGAACTGTAATGTGCTGGATGTTATCTTCGTAAAGTACAGCCAAGCTTCGAATTACCTATAATTGAAAGAGAGCGAATAATCAATGAAAGAGAGCGAATAATCAATGAAAAAGAGAGAAAGATTGAAGAATACGTACTTTGCGTTCCCAGTCAACGTCTGTCGGGAATTCGCTTCGTTTATCGATCCTTAAGTAGATTGTGAATTCGTGATTGACGCTACGACTCAACTTGTGCTGCTGAACATGAATATCGAGACTATCGGAGACATTGGCGCCTTCGCTGTCCGTGGCAACTAGTTCGTAATTCCAGGTAGATATATCTTTTTCGAGAGGTCTGTTTAAAAAAAGTTTGATAAAAAATCTCTATTTTATTCAAGAATAAAAATAGATAGATATAGCGCCAACTTACAATCCATAAATTTCCTGCATATGAGGATTGAACTGGAGCCAGTGGGTCGTCTTGAGCGGTGCACCGTGCCAGTATAGATCCAATTTCAATTTTTTTGTGTTGCCATCTTCGAGATCGGTGAAGGTGTTTACCGGTATAACGTAACTCAACGGTTTGCCGGCAGTTACTGGTATCTTCTTTAATCTCCTGTCGCGTCTCGGCGGGAAGTTGACTTGGCCGTACTCGATACTCTCCGTAATAACACGAGTCGTAGTAGTAGTAGGAGCCACGGTAGTGGTTGTAGTCGTAGAGGTGGTCGTGCTGGTACTAGACGGTGTCGTGCTCAACGTCGTTCGAAGATCCGATGTCGACGATATCGCGTTAGTAGTTGAGGTTGTAGCATTTGTTATGTTCACAGGCGTAGTAGTGGTAGTAATAGTAGTGCTAACATTCGTTACAACTACAGACGAAGGAGTGGTAATGTTAACATCCGTGATTACAATTGGTGTTGGTATGGTGGTCCATGGTTCTCTCGTCGAAGTCATAGTTTGTTCCGGCTAGGCGAGAAAAGACCGTATATCAAAATGCAGAACGCTCGCTGCGATTGGGAAGAGTGGAATAATAGTTCTATGCGATAGAGAAATTTGCATGATTACGATAGAACTTTAAACCGTTATTAAATGCACCATTAATAACGGACAACGGATTCTTAACAGAAGATAACAATTTATCTCGGCGAAGCGACAGTTTGACAAATCGGCACGATATGAGTATGAAGAAGTTGGTGTGTGTATAGCGGCATAGAATTATAATACAAATGAGAAAAGCGCTAAAGCACGCAAGCATTACCTCTTCCGTCGTAACGTTATTGATACTGGCGACGATCTCCGTCTCGACTTTATCGGGCACGCTAGTCTGGATAAACGTTGTGCTAAGAGACAGTAGAGTGGTTATAGGAAGAGGAGTTGTGGTGATATCCGAAGGAACGGTCGGTAAAACGGTAACGGGTTCAACCGGTTCCACATATTTTGTTTTCTCCGTCAAGAATTCTTCGTTTGTGGTCCCCGATCTCGGAGATTCTATCGATGGATCTACAGCGGTGGAGATGCTAGCTGTTGTTGTTGTATCAGCTGATGTTGTAGTCGTTGTGGTGCTACTAGCAGTAGTAGGTACGGTCGTTGGCGCGACTTGGGTTGTGGTTGTACTTGTCGTCGTAGTAGTGGAAGTAGTTGTTGATGGTGATGATGTAGTAAGTTCAGTGGTTGTTGTCTGCGAAATCGTTAGTAGATGCGATGTATGGTACGAAAAAACGAATGGTTAGTTACGAAAAGACGAAGAAGATGTACAAGTATAAAACAAAGTATCAGACTTCTGTTTGCGAAGACTTTCGCGTCGCAATCTGTACAGCGCAATTTAGAACGTGGATCTGCACGGACAAGTATACAAGTTTGCGAGAGACGAAAAATAGGCCAGCATTAAAATACCCAATAGCTATTCTAATCTCTTCAAGCGCAACGAGTCACCCGAAAGCGATATGGCATGGCGAAAAAAGGCGAACAGAAATAGAAATTTTAATGAAAACCGTAGAGAAATTATGTATATTAAATTATATTCCAAATATAATCATCGACGAAGAAGGAATCACGCAATCGTGTATAATTCCACGAGAATACTTACCGTAGGCGTGGTTGTTCTGTTTTCCAGATCGCTTTGCCTCATTCTCGGTATTATCTCTTCTTCGTCAACATCTTCGCTCTGAAAAGAACAACATACGGACGAGGAATATTTGCGATCTTGAAATTTCTCGCGACGATCGCAGTTATACGTGCATCGCAACAACTTACCTTCCAATCGATCGTCTCCTCGCCGTGGTGATGCCTGTGCGGATGCTCCGGGACTTTCATATTCGGCATGTAAGTCGGCGATACTCGCGAATCCTCGTTATCGTCCTCGCCCTCTTCGCCATCGTAATCTTCCTCATTGTCTTCGTAATTGTCATCGTAATTATCATCGTAACCGTCCGCGCCACCGTAGTCGCCGGAGCCGGCTTCTCTCCTGTTTCTCAAAGAGGGGCTCGAATCTGTCCTTACACGCCACGATATCACGGGCAACTGCAGAACTTCCGCTAGAGTGCCGTCCTTCGCTTGCTCCCGCAGTTGTTCCACCAATTCCGCTTGATGCTTCCACAAGTGACCGTCGCAGCCGACCTACGTGCACAGATATATCCTGTTGCTCGGCAAGCTTGTTTCTCGTTAAGTTACTTTATCGGATATCAATGAGATACCGTAAAAATTGATAATGAGGGCTCGTAAAATGTCGATGCACTTATATATCTGATATAAAAACGAGCAACCGCTAAACAGGGATCATTAAGTATGTTGAATCTCACCTGCCACTGGATAGTAGTTAAATGATTCTTTCTAAATCTGGAAAGCTTAATGTTTCCAGGTCCGCTAAGAATAACGGAGGTACCCAGTGCCTTCACGCCTTGAGAATGCATCGAGAATGCGCTCTACAGAATATAAAAATAAGTAAATTGTACAACTGACTCATAATGCAAAAGATAAAAGAGAGAAAGTCAAGACAACAAAGTGAATAAAATAGATTCTACTATTTTTATTGCCGCGCGTATATATAACAAAAACTATTTATTTTAATTCTTGAAAATACACTGTATTATTTTCTCAAAAAATAAAATGCAAAAATAACAGTCAGAATTAATTTCAAAGAGTACGATTAAATCAATACCGTGTGCATTCCCAGAAAACCCGAGAGATTTTCGATGGCGCTCGTCCTGATGGTAGGCGATAGTTTCTCTATAGCCGCATCCAACAATATCGTGAGAACCGTTTGTTCCTCTCCGTCATCGCAATGCGTCTGCAATTAGAATCGTTCCGTTTCCATCAGCCGGTTTTGTTTGCTACGCTTGCGTGCCTACTAGCACGCAAAGTTTCAAAGATCGAGATCGTCGACCGAAATATGTACGATCGCGATGTATGCATCTGTATGTCATACGACGTATTACGCACGCGGTACTAATATCAATTGGCGTCAATCAGTTAACGCGGGAATAATTCCTTTGCATTTAAACGCAACGTGCGGATGCGAGCCGTTTCGACAGATTTATATCGCGACACAGAAAGTGCTCTAAATTCCATTGTAAAAATTCATCAAACGCGGATTTTATCGCGCGAAATTAAATTATAGGCTAAAAAACGTACAGCGTTTTCCATTTCTTTTTTTCACACAGATTGAAGACACTTTTTAACATTTTTAACGTTATTTTGTTTCATTAATATTACACGCGAATGAAATAAAAATATCACTTGTAGATAATTTAAACGTAATGCAAAGTATTCATCAAAGTTGGTTCTTCTCATGTACGTTTTCATCTTTAAGCTATATATTATTCATTAGCGAAAATAGCAGGCATGTAGCATCGGAGACCTGTTGTCCGACTTGGATAAGAAACTTGAAACGATGCCAGCGAAACGTTTTCGCAGCTAACGATTCTCTCATCCCGTTCGCGTTCTCGTTACCGAGTTAACGTTTTCACTCAAACCACTCACCCTGCCGTCCTTATGCTTGAGCTCCTCCAGTTTCTCGGGTATAACCTGCACGATGAACTGATCCTTGGCGGTGTCACGATGCTTACCGAAAGCCGTGACGGTCAGGTGATAATTGCCCGTGTCTTCTTTCAACGGCACACCCAGGAGAGTGGACGCCGAGTCGTCCCAGTGCATCCATTCCGGAAAACGATCGCGATTACTGGTCCCGCGAACCTGACATATTTTTAACATATGACACATTTTTTTCTACCGCTATTCCTCGTGAAAGGACAATTATTTGGGTCGGTGTCGTTGTATCATTGAATGTGAAAACGTTTGAATCAGTTTTGCACGACGGAACGAGCGGTGCCCGAATGATTTCCGAGGACAAAGGGAAGACTAGGGGCCATTCAACCTAAGAAGGATTTCCGGCCGCGGGGGGAGCAAATTGAATCGCAAATATGGATTCAATGGAAGACGCCGCATCTCGGCAGAACTTGGAGAGGGAAGAAAATGACAAATGTGTGCGAGGATAAGTAAATCAATAGGACTTAGCGGGCATTTCGATGTACTTGATGGCATACTTGACCAAGTTCGAGAAATACGAAAGAAGAGCCATCTAAATTCAATTATCTATGCAACTTTTATTTCGCGTAGATATGAGCTCTTGAAAGATTTTTTTCTCCCTATTCTCTTTATATGATAACAAGATCTTTCCACAAAATATAGTATAATCGTATAACTCATATAATTATTAATTGCATATAATTCGATAAAATAATTTAAATAAAACCGCGTAGATATTCTATTCGTCGAAATTTTAAGAAATACCTACTTTTCATATTTTTGAATATATCTACACATACTTAAAATTTCAACGCGGCAATTTTTTTCGGGGGAATGCCCGCATTTTCCTCCTCGAGAAAACTTCTCTGTATAATACAAGACGACCGGTCAAATAATTTTCCGATTACGAACGGACCCGAAGAATAAATTGCCATCCACCTCACCGGCTTACCTCGTAAAAATCCACATTTCCCGAAAAAGCCTGCCGTGGTATTTTCATTTTGAAAACATGGCCAACTGGGACGACGGAATCCGACACGCCCCACGCTCTTTCGACCCGAGAGGCATGCCTCCTGCCATCCCTGGACGACGATCCTTGCTCGTAACGATCGGATCGACCGCGAGTCGCATGATGATTTATCAGAGCGGACCCAGTAGGCGAGTTGTCATTGTCATTGTCCTCGCCGACATCGTCGAAGACCAAGTCGTCCTCCTGCAGGCTGAGGCCCAACGCCAGAGGCAGCAGGAGCAGGATGCACGCAAGGATGTGAGGATGCTTCTTCATGTTTCCGGGAAATCGTCAGTCCCTGGTATCATACCATGCTGCTACGCCTGCAACAGATTGTATCACATTCGTTCATCGATCACCGAGATAACTATCGAAGGATATTATTGTCATAATAATTATCGCGCATGATTAATTAAGATCGCAAAAATTAAAGAAATTAAGCTTTCGATCCTTTAAATGATCGTGAAAGACCGAGCTCAGTCTCTTTCTAAATTGTTTATCTCAGAAAAATATTTGAGTTTAGAATGAAATATTTTTTCACCGAAAAAAAAATTGTTTAGTACATACAATTTTTTGAAAAATTAATCTTATATTTTTAATTACTTTAAATTCTTCAATATTATAAAACGATTATATAACATTATTACGTATGTGACACTCCTCGATACAACTAATAAATCATCTCTCATAAGAGAAAACGTGATATATTCATTGCCTAAATAAGGCAGTGCCTAAACGATACAAGAATTAAATAAAGTGAAATGTGAAGTAATGGAATGGTGTATCGCATCGATCATTGAACCAGACAGCTGAGCTGATAATTCGCAGGCCGATCGCTCGCTGTTCTCACTATCCATTCGACGATGCGGCTGTTTAGGTTCAGTCCGAGAGATTAATGGAACATTTTCGTAACCGGGGGAGCAAAGCACACGCATCCAATGGTATCCAATGATAGCCAATAAACGCTTCCATTGTATTTTTATTTCCCTTTATTGCTCGTTTCGTCGAGCACCGTTTCATTAACTGGCGCGATCGGCCAATGAGGAGTTGACAGTTTAAGCCGTTGGATTCTCTCGCGAATAACAAAACCCGTAGTCGGGATACCTAGTTTTATCGAAATTCTGCCGCGTCCCCTATAATAGCTGTCGCGAAACGCTTTAGACACACCCGAATAATTCGCGGCCAGACTTCGCGATTCTTTTCGATTGCGTCATCGAATCGCGGAGCAAATCGAGCGAATTAATCGAAACGAGGACACACTCGGGGAAACTCGTTTAACTGTGTTTAATCGCGTAGTATTTTATTCGCGGACTTTTAAATGTTTCCGAAAATTGGATCGTCGCGATAATGATAACGAAGGCTCACGCTTGAATCGCATTCGACGCGAACAACGATGTCGTCATCCGTGAGGTCGTAGGATAAATTCAATTACGTTGTATTTTTAGTTACCGTGTTAGAGTCTCGGGTGATTGAAATAAAAGTTTGATCGAGATCGTATTTATTACCTCCGAAGGTGGATATAAAGACGAACAGAGAGAGAGAGAGAGAGAGAAAGAGAGATTTCAAGGACCAAGAATGCGCGGTCACGCTTGATTCCAACGCGGTCACGTTTCGTATGAAAGTTCGGGTCACGGATTAAATACGCTGATGAAAACGAGGACGACGCGATATGCTATAGATCCATCTCTGAGCGACGACTACGAAGACGGTCAACGGACCGCGAAGGCTATCCGGTGGGTGTAGACAATTGAGTTTATGCCCGCATTTACATGCGTCCACACGGAGCAAGATGTAGAAATGAGCTTATTATATTCTCTCTATCTCTTTATCTCTCTCTCTTTCGCTCGCTACAAAGAGATCCGACATTTATATGCGAAACTGGCACTCTACTTTTAATAAACGAAGTTTTCAATACAAGAAATGATAGTATTTCACTTCGTGTTGTCTATAGTAATTTTAAACCATTGGTTCGTAGTCGAAATCATAAAAGAATATATTTTGAAAAAATAACACACTTAATTTTTAAAAAATTGTTGATATCTTGATTCAAGAATCTTTTCTAAGTGCTTTTATTAATGATTTCCCTTTTGTTTGCAATCGCGCCATTTAAAAGTTACAATATATTTGCAACTGATAAGAAACGCAACTTTTCCAATTTCAAAGATATCTCAATCCGTTTGCATGTTTTTCAAAATTATTTATAGTTATCTATAGTAATTTTCCTTTCGTTTATAATTAAATCGTTCGAAAATTATAGTATATCGAATGCGACTTTGTCAATTTTAAAAAGATACATTTTAAATCCGCTTGAGCTCCATATTATTCAGAGTCAAAATTAAAAAATATATAAAGAGTAATTATGTTTTGGCTCGTTATCAGAATTTCAAAATAACTTTTAAATGATATTTTACAATAAAAAAAAAATGTTACAAATGATTACAAACAATTCTTGAAGCGAGATCAATATCAGCAATTTTGTTATCTTAAAAATGAATGAGAATCACTTTAAAAAAAATATATTTTCGACTATGAACTAAATCATTGTTACTACAAACAAAATACTCATTTTATCTATGTTAAAAATTTAATCTAATGAAAGTAGGGTGTGCCAAGTTTGCGTAGATCGATTCAACAGCTACCACAAAAGTAACACAAAATTGATGGTGAGCGTTGAGTAAAGATAGTTGTCATGATTTTATAATAAATCTCGAAAAGTTTGTTACAAAGTAAAGATATATAGACATTGCACTATAACACGCAGTGATCCGTTTCGCGTCGAAATTATTTATTTACCGAGTCAGTCTGTGCAAAGGCATCGGCTATAAATAGGCGCGTCGTCATACGATCACGCGCTATCATTTTCCGAGGATGATTGTAGACGGAAAAGAGCGTCCGATGACAAACGATTTTAGAGTCCGCGTAAATAAACGCGAAACTTGGGAGCGTTTATCACAATCGAATTGCAATGGGAGTGCAAAACGATCGCCCTCGCATGCGTCCACCCTCTTCGCATCGCAAATCCCCGCCAGCGACCTTAATATGATGCCACAGTCGCGATACCGAGTACTATTTATCAAAGCTTAACGATCGGATATCGCGATGTCAATTGTTCGATTGTTCGAGGGGAGCGGAATTCTTTGATTGTCCAGCGCAAACACGGTGTAATTTCCTTTCTCTAGTACCGCTGCAAAATTCCAGAGAGATACCGGATTTATCCGGATAAAAATTATCGGAATAAAAGATATAATTATACATATAGTGCGCAATCACACTTTGCAAAGAGTTCACGTTGCGGATAATAAATAAATAAAATAATGTAAGCAATTTTAACGGAATATTATTACATGGTTTATCGTTTGACATATAAAATTTTTTGCACACTTTGACATCCGACTGTGCGCGTCCTTCGTCGATCTCGCGTCCGTTTAATCGCGTTCCTCCCGTTCGCGCAAATAGTTTATCACGTCGCATCGGGCGTGTTCGAGACCTTGTCTCTCGAGCCATGCTGCATAGTATGCAGGGCGCAAATACATCGCTGCAGGTGCAGCGTGCTGTCGTCGAGACACGCGCGTATAGAATACAGGAACATCGACTGGCTGCGATGCCAAGGCGTCAAACGGAAGTGCACGAGGGACGAAAGAGATCGATAGCTCGTACATCATAACTCGAGAACGTCGGGTAAGCGATGTATTCGGCATCTCGATTCTTTGAGCAGCGATTTAATAACGCGCCTGTTCGTTCTATTTTATTCGTCCAATTACGGTTCACCGGTAAATCTCCGACCTAAAGCGTTGCAGATAATTCCGTCGTGATATTTCTTATCGAAAGAAAGAGAGGCGTTGTATTAAAATAGCTACTTTTTAAGTTCATTGACAACGTTCGCCGCACGTATTTTATTCTTTTTCTCGAAAACAGCTTGTTAGGAATAATCTTTTGAGTCAGTGACCTTAAACTCGAATTAATCGATGCTGTTCTATGCAAGCATCGCTGACGACGCCAGAGATGCGATAAATGCCGTTCACCATTAAAATCGCGCAAATTGTGATAGGTAGGAAATACCGTAGAGAAAGAGGAGAACGCGTGTTAACTTTCAAATAATAATATTATAATACCCGTTATTTCTCGTGAAAGATTATCATCTCGGGATCCAACGATTGTCGACAAGATTCCTGCGAGAAACAAACCCGCAGCAAGACTCTACGCTGATAGTTATTTCTGAAAATTTAAACCATGACGTCAGAGAGGCGCCTGCATTGAGATTGAAATTTTTAAAAGACGTCGGAGCGTGTGTCGTATGGGTATCATCCGTTCCTTCGAGATCTAAATTTAAAAGCGACATCGTGGCGCCGCCGGCGTCGAAAATTTCCTTTCTCGCATCAGATTCTTCCGTATCTTCGGGAGGAGCGAACGTGAATCGTAACGGAAAGAATTTTCGCGACCTGAGGTGAAGGAAAATCTAACGTGGCTGTTCTCAAAGAAAGGAATGGCTTCGATCTTCCAAGAACGGACGATTCCATAATAATACATGCGATAAGAAATGTTTTATCTCTCTCTCTCTCTCTCTCTTTATCAATGAAAATATGCAATGCCGTCCTACGAACGGCAAATATTATGCGCATCGACGAACGCTCCAATTATAGATATCGTGTTATTAATCGTCTCAGCAATACTTTGTCGCGTAAGCTGCATGCACGATTCATGCCCGCGTACTACCTACGAGCGAATCGCTCGCGATAAAGTGGTCAATAAATAATATCAGGAGACGGCTGTATTTTTCCAAAGAAATTCCTGCCGCAAAATGATCACGACTTTGACCGGAGGAGAGCCGTAACGAGTTTCCGGAGCCCGAGTGTCGGCTTTTATATGTCGGATAACCGCTTTTCGTGCCTTGTGTACACAGAAGCAACGTTTACACAGTCTTTATTCTTCCAGATGCAGCCGCAGTGGTCTCAGAAATAGGGGCAAAGAAGCGTCCCCCTCTTTCGAGTCGACTCGATGTTGAAACCGGCATCCTGTTTTAGCGTCGGTAGAGCCTCCTAGCAACAATGTTGCAGGGAACGATATGCGCGGATGATATTTCACGAAAGAGAGAGAGAGACAGTAATGTACTTTATTATATGTATAGATAGAAAAATATTATACAATTAAAATACGCGCGTTGCGTTTTCTCTCGTTTATTCGCAAGTCATTTATTAAGCGTGCTTGGAAATTGGTAGCTTGGTACGTACGTACGATTTCCCCTTTCGCTAATTCAGCATGAATATGTGTAAGCTCGCGACAAATATTCGCGTGCGTAGCGCGAATAAGGCGCGTCGAGTTCCTA